TTGGGTGGTGTTCCACCACATCTGACAGCTACCAGTCTAAGTCTTGGGTGGTGTTCCACCACATCTGACAGCTACCAGTCTAAGTCTTGGGTGGTGTTCCACCACATCTGACAGCTACCAGTCTAAGTCTTGGGTGGTGTTCCACCACATCTGACAGCTACCAGTCTAAGTCTTGGGTGTTGTTCCACCACATCTGACAGCTACCAGCCTAAGTCTTGGGTGGTGTTCCACCACATCTGACAGCTACCAGTCTAAGTCTTGGGTGGTGTTCCACCACATCTGACAGCTACCAGTCTAAGTCTTGGGTGGTGTTCCACCACATCTGACAGCTACCAGTCTAAGTCTTGGGTGGTGTTCCACCACATATGACAGCTACCAGTCTAAGTCTTGGGTGGTTTTCCACCACATCTGACAGCTACTAGTCTAAGACTTGGGTGGTGTTCCATCACATCTGACAGCTACCAGTCTGAGTCTTTGGTGGTGTTCCACCACATCTGACGGCTACCAGTCTAAGTCTTGGGTGGTGTTCCACCACATCTGACAGCTACCAGTCTAAGCCTTGGGTGGTGTTCCACCACATCTGACAGCTACCAGTCTAAGTCTTGGGTGGTGTTCCACCACATCTGACAGCTACCAGTCTGAGTCTTGGGTGGTGTTCCACCACATCTGACAGCTACCAGTCTAAGTCTTGGGTGGTGTTCCACCACATCTGACAGCTACCAGTCTAAGTCTTGGGTGGTGTTCCACCACATCTGACGGCTACCAGTCTGAGTCTTTGGTGGTGTTCCACCACATCTGACAGCTACCAGCCTAAGTCTTGGGTGGTGTTCCACCACATCTGACAGCTACCAGTCTAAGCCTTGGGTGGTGTTCCACCACATCTGACAGCTACCAGTCTAAGCCTTGGGTGGTGTTCCACCACATCTGACAGCTACCAGTCTAAGTCTTGGGTGGTGTTCCACCACATCTGACAGCTACCAGTCTGAGTCTTGGGTGGTGTTCCACCACATCTGACAGCTACCAGTCTAAGTCTTGGGTGGTGTTCCACCACATCTGACAGCTACCAGTCTAAGTCTTGGGTGGTGTTCCACCACATCTGACAGCTACCAGTCTGAGTCTTTGGTGGTGTTTCACCACATCTGACAGCTACCAGCCTAAGTCTTGGGTAGTGTTCCACCACATCTGACAGCTACCAGTCTAAGTCTTGGGTGGTTTTCCACCACATCCAAAACCTACCAGTCTGAGTCTTTGGTGGTTTTCCACCACATCTGACAGCTACCAGTATCAGTCTTCAGTGGTGTTCAACCACATCCGACAGCTACAACCATCAGTCTCAAGTGATGTTCCGCCACTTCAAATGGTATAAGACTGATAGTGGTAGCTGTGGCATATGGTGGAACACCACCCAAGACTGATACTGGTAGCTGTTGGATGTAGTGGAACACCACTTCAGAATGATAATGATATCTGTTGGATATGGTGAAACGCCACTCTAGACTGATAATGGTAGCTGTTGGATGTGGTGGAACACCACCTAAGACTGATACTGGTAGCTGTTGCATGTGGCAGAACATCACGTGAGACTGATTCTGATAGCTGTTTGATGTGGTGGAACACCACCTGATACTGGTCCTGGTAGCTGTTGGATATGTTGGAACACGACGTAAGACTGATACTGGTAGTTTGTTTTTTAAAAAACTATTTTTATTTCAATGCAGTAGACATGTATCTGTGACATAGGCACATGAGATATATACACTCTTTAAAAAAATGAAACGCACAGGAAGATTTTTTAGAAAATTTATTGTACCGAATAAAGACGATATATTTAATTTATTATCATAGATACAAATATGACATTTTGGAGGTCGATAGTCACATGTTGTTGTTGTACAAATGCATTGAGAACTGTTCATTGTCATGTCACACAAGGCCACAAGGTTGCGCTGAACTCAGTATCTTGTGTGACCGCCCCGGGCAGCAATCACGACCCTGAATCTCCTCGTCGCTGACTGGATAAGTGTACGAATTCTGTCCTGCGGAATTCTGCGACATTCTGTTTTAAGGCGTGGCCAGTTGTGGGTGTGTCTGCGGCGTGTTCTGACGTTGACGTACACATCGATCGAGTTCATCCCAGAGGTGTTCGATTGGGTTGAGGTCTGGAGATATCGACGGCCAGGACAAGCCGTTGATGTTGGCATTATGAAGATAGTCTACCGTGACATGAGCTGTGTGCGGTGGAGCGTTGTCTTGTTGAAACAACTCCCTCTTGGGGTCAATGATTGGAAGAAGGTGACGTTGAAGAATTTGATTCATGTAGCGATTTGCTGTCAAATTTCCCCGAACCACAACCAAGTCAGATCTCCTGGTGTAGGATATGCCACCCCCACCATGACACTACCGCCACCGAAATTGTCGAATTGACGACGATAAACCCGTTGTCTTCCATCTCGCCGGTGAAGAAGAAATCGTTATTCATTGCTAAACCAGTTTTTCAAATCCCAAGGCTGTAAGGCTGTAAGGTATGGCACAAACGCAAGCGTCGCTGTCGATGGATATGTTGCAAAACAGGGACGATAACTGATCTTCTGGGTCGGATTTCAGCCTCGTGAAGATGGTTCCTGACAGTCTGGTCCGATATCCTCCTCAAACCATGGATGCGTCCTGCAGTCTCCGTAGCTGTGGCATTGCGATGACGTGAGTGGAACAGTCGAATGTAGCGATCCTGTGCAGGGCTGGTAACTCTTGGTCGGCCGGTTATCGGACGGTCTGCAGTCGAATTGAAATGTGTGTATCGGTCTCAAAGTCGGCAAATGGTGCTGTGGTGGACGTTGAAGTGGCGTGCAACAGAAGACTGCAATTCCCCTCTTTGGATACGTCCTATGGCGATGTTTCGATCGGCGGCGCTGAGTCTCGGCATTTTCGAACTTTAAAATGTTGACAATTGAATGCCAAATTACTGTCTTATGCTTGCCTTTTTATAGCCACTACCACGAGTTACGAATGCCATAACTTGCACGTGCATTTTGCTTTACTGTTTTCCTCCATGACATTTTTGGACAAATGTGAAAACAATGCCGTTTAAGACATTGCAAATCGACAATGGCTGCGTTTTGACGCACCGTTTGTCGAATATCAGGCCACCAACATTTTCCAATAACATATATGTAATTTATATACCGGATTTTTTGTGTAGTCAGATTCAATGAACTGCATTCTACCTGTGAGTTTCTTTTTTTGAAGAGTGTAAGTGTAGCACTTCATAGGATCTTAAAACATGACCAAGATATGGGTAATATACATCATTTTTATTGACTTATATATAGATTGACTTATGTATTATAATAAGTAGGCTGATAACTCTTTCCTTTTTCTTTCAAATGTTTTAATACAACTATTTTCATTGTAATATTTTTTAAATATTTTACAAACATCTTTCAATATTTTTATGAAGAAAGGAAAGTATAATGGAGTTTTCTTAATGCTTGACTGGTGAATGTATTTCTTAGCAAAAAGAATTATATGGTTGAAAAGAGAGAATTCTTTTTGTTGTTGCAAAATAATTTATATAGACTGGTAATATGAATATCATATGCAAAGTTCGAGTTCAATTTCTAACTAAAATTCCTTTACAAATACACATTCTACATTTACATGGTATAGGTTTTCAAAGATGCAAAAAGAGTATACAGCATCATCAATTAACTTCATTTTTAATAATTCCTCCTTGGTACTGATACTGGTAGCTATTGAATGTTTGAGACAGATAATGGGTGGTGTTGGATGTGGTAGAAAAACGCTTAAGAATGATGCTGTTAGCATTTGGATATGGTGGAAAACCACCTAAGACTGACACTGGTAGCTCTGGCATATGGTGGAACATCACATAGAACTGATGGTGGCAGCTGGTTGATGTGGTGGAACACCACTTAAGACTGATATTTGCAGATGTTGGATGTGCTGGAACACCGCGTAGGACTGATAATGGTAACTGCGACATATTATTATCACAGACGAATTCGTGAAATAGGAAACTACATCATTGTCATTCCTCGAGTCAGGATTTGTTTCAACAATTTAACTTTTTTAATCATAATGTGACATCCGAACCCCTTGAAGAAATAGAAGTAGTTTTCCACATAGGTCTATGCATATAAATGGAGACAACAAAATACAATTAAGATCACCGCCTTTCTTATTGTTTAATGCCGACAAAGAAATGTCTCTTTTAAGACGTTTGCCATATACCATTCCAAAATTACATTCTTAATTATAAAGGAATCTCCATCCTGTTTATTCTGATGCGCATAAGTTACACACACTGCTGTTTGCTGAATTCTTTTGTCGTAACCTGTAAACTCCCTCATCGCCTTATCTCTCATCCCCGTCACATGACCCTCCCCTCCCGTGTAGTTCCTCAGAACCGCTACATTTCAACGTTCCCTTCCGCCATTTGGTATAAGCAGCACCAGACGTTGTTCAGTTGCTGGTGTAGAGTGTTTGTTCTGGAGGTAAACAGCGCTTAATCTCAGTCAGTTCTGGAACTCAAGCTTCCACGTCCATTTGAGTGGGTGTATTCATCTTTGAATGTCATGTTTTATGTCAATGAATGCATTTGAATATGTAACTCTCACAGCTATGTTCCTAAACGCATATCTCCACATACAATGAGCATAGAAGACAGGCTTAGGCAAGCCTATGGGGATGTGAGTACACTCATGTCTACCACTTATCTAGTTCATCTTGCTGTCGAAATTGGGGAAAGCTTCTTCATAATTCAACCTAATGAGATTCAACTCAAAATACCTAACATAGTTACAGAGCATTAATTAACATTTCATTTTTGCAGAATGTTGACTTTCAGAGCTACACAGTTTCAGCAAAGATCCGTACAGCAAGCTGAGTCCTACTCTCGTTCCAACATTGGTAATTAATAACACATCAGAGGATTGTAGCTTGACCGCGTTAAGTGTCAATACTATTCTTCCTAAACTTTTCAGATGGAATTATCCAAGACCGACTCAGTTCCAAATGGCTTCGTAGTTGACCGACCAGTGGCACTGCCAGGTAACCTCGGAGATAAAGATGAACTTATACACGCGGAAACAGAAACGTTATCGGAAGGGGTAGACAATCCTGGTTTCAATGAGGCTATGGAGGGGGGAGCTAACCGACAAGAGAGTGCCAACAGTGACACAAGTAGCGACAACATCAAGTTCAGAAACAATGAGAAAGAAGATGTGAGCCTCAGCGAGACCAGCGAGTCGGTGCTGCGACGATCAGTGCAAGGAAGAAGTGGGAAAAGGGACAGCTATGCCAGGTAGGATTCTGTTGTGGAACCGTGGGGGTATCAGCTCCATCATTTACTGATTATAATGGTTCTTAAGGATATGCGGTTTATAAAAAAACCCATTTGCTATTCTATGTATGATTGCATTTGATTTAATGCATTTCTTGGTATTATGTAAAGGAAGAACGTTTATGTGAAAGTAGTTTCGATTCCTGAAAACGCATCCCCGATCCGTGGTTACAATTTCTGGATGCGACAGATACAAATATTTTAATAGCAAAAGAACATCATGAAATCTATATCGTCGTTTTTACAACGTGTTTGCACAATATGTCGTCCATGAGAGATTTACGAGTGATATCTACTCTGTGTTAATTTACAAGTGTTTATAATTAAGAATCCGATTGGTGTGTATGAACACTTTTACCTGGAACATTTAAACCGCCGAGCAAAAGAAAGTATACATCCATATTTGTTGATGGCTAAAATATATCACACAAGAAATGGTGATTCGATGGCGATGTACTTGATATGGGTATCATAGTTATGTTTCTGAACGTAACGTTTTCATAACGTTCGTATTTTTTGGTCAAATCCAAAATTCAAGTGTATAGTTTCTTTTGCCTGGCAGCTTGTAACATCTATATGCATACATTTATTAATAATCCTTATTAAAGAGGCGCGGTGTGGCGCGTCGAGCCGATAATCCAGCTTCGATTCCCCATATGGGTACAACGTGTGATATTGTTCGAATATTGCTAAAAAAAACATACTCACGCCGTATCAAAAAAGGGAATTACTTACACTTACATCTTTGATTACCAACACTCGGCAAAATGGAGTGAGTGAGTATGGTTGTACGTCGCTTTTAACAATATTCCAGCAACATCACGGGGACACCAGAAATGGTCTTCTCACATTTCACCCATATGGGGAATCGAACACGGGCCTTCGATGTGACGAGCGATCTCTTCAACTAATAGGTTAGTTACCCAACACCACTTGGAAAATGGAGCAAAGCAACGCCTTAATATTAATGCAGAAAAATGCTTACTTTCAATGGAAGATCATCAGCTGCTACATGTTGAGTGCATTTTCGGAATTGGTTGCTCGTTTTAGTCCTTTGTGAGGGAACCGGACACGTTAATTTGTTTCAGCCTTGACAGCTTGGACAGGAAGGCGCCCTGGCGGACCTGGGATGTGTTCCGGATAATATCTCGAGATAAAGACACTTCACTCGATGACGCCACTGTTAATAAACTAAGGAAAGGTGTCAAAGTTGGAGTCGGGATGTTTTTGTCGCTGTTTGTCCTCGTGTTGACAGTTATCAGCAAAAGTAGCCTTCTTCTCATAACGTCAAACATTTACGTGAATGTCACGCTGTATTGTGAGACATACGACGATGAACACTTTACTTTCTGTGCAAGAGCTCCCCCGGACAGGATGAATGGTACGGTATTTAGGCCATCTCAAAACGTGGAGATACGCTGGCTGTGGGCACTCTTCATTGTCATCGTCACACCATATCTATTCACTTTCATCAAATGCTCTTGGAGGGCATGTTTCAAAAGTACACGAAATCCAACATGCAAAATAATACTAACAGTAAGTACATTAATATTAATTTGTCATAAATTATATCTGTTATTGTTATAAATTAAGTATGCGGTCTTAAATTCTAAATATAGATAGATAAATAGATAGATAGATAGATAGATAGATAGATAGATAGATAGATAGATAGATAGATAGATGGGCTTTGATTTCACACAAAAATAAGTTGTCGCATTAAACATATAATTTTGTAAGACGGTTATTTCATACAATGCCTTTTTTCTAATGCAGGTGATAATTCCAGAGACTCTCCACTCGGTGGGAATATGCATTTTCTCCTTTCAAGTGCTCCCATCTCTTGACGCTCTCCGAGGTCTGGTACTCATGATGGGGGTTGCTTTCCTGCCAGCTGTACTTAAGCTCTTTGACAGTCAAGAATCAAAAGGTCGAAAATTCTATGTTATTCTCATAGATTTCCTGTGTGTAATCGTACAACTATCCGTGCTTCTTTTGTGGCCACTGAGGAACTATTTCTTCTCCGATACATTTTACCATGAAACATGGGCTATTCCGACATCTCTGTTCTTGGTTTCCTTTGGCTGGTGGGAGAATTATGTTAACAGATATAACAGACTGGGAGCTCTTGGAAACAAACTCAGAAGTTTGAAGCGAGGCATTCGGCGTCAAAGAACTAAGGTGTACTTAATTGTCAGTGTATGGAAAATTATACTCACGCTGAGTGTAATGACAGTCATAATGAGCGACTTCAATATTTCCTGTGTGAAGGCTCTGTACTATTTAGGACACGATGGCGCCCACGAATGTCCGCACCTCGTAAACCCGTATGGAATAGTGAACGTAGAGGCTGTTGAATATTTTCAGAGTCCCTTCTGGGTGATGCTCATTCAGACAGGATGTTGTCTTCTCTGCTATACATTTGCCAAGACCTCTTGCAAGATTCTGCTCCAGATTGGGGGCTTCGCAATTCCTCTTGTCCTTTCAATGCCTATCCTGATAGGGACTCTCATCGCAGACTGCGAGACATGGAAATCTAACAGCACAGGTTCTTGGATTGCTGCCCTGCCCTCGGAGATGTTCTGGACATGTGACATCCATGGACTCTCTGTAAACTACCTGTCGAAGCTGATGACTGATTACTGGCTCCCCGTAGCTATAGCCTGGTGGTTCTCCTTTATCTGGATCACAATTCATATCTGGTATCCTCGGGTAGAGAGACTTGTACAGACTGAAAGGTACGTTCTAGTTATGTATGGCTGTTATATACCAGCGGAATTTTCAATTAAATTTTTTTATTCTTAATTTAAATAGTGCATCTATCCATACATTCTCATCAAGACATCTCCTCGACATTAAGGTTGTGATTCAGAATTTGCACGTTCAGGTTCATGCACGGCGCACAATTTGGATGTTTGCTGTTGTTGGGAGTATGATAATCACACACATGGTTTATTTTTGTGCCAGTACACACTTATTCATTAGCTATCAGATACTGATAAAAACATTTTGTTTTACCGTAAATAACGGCTTGCTGAAAAATCAACGTCGGCCCCCTTGGAATGTTGCAAACAGACATGGCGCAAAACGAACATTTTAATGTCCATCGAAACACAATAGCATGGATACGTTAACTAAAGCAGCTTAACACTCATGACTTGCCACGGACCGGTTGTCCACGTGTCTCTTCATAAAGACAACCACATTCGGTTGGTGCATCTACAGAATCGATACCACACTGCCAAGTTAAAAGCTCGAACAATTCTTGGGTTGAGACCAATTTGTGGCAGAAACGTATGCAACCCTATAAAGGAGCTCAACATCCAGCCCCGATGTCCAGCTATACGCCGAATGCATCTACGTCACCGTCAGGCACACCTAGCTTGATGTAGGCAGCATCTGGGGTTTAGAATCCATGACTAAGACAGTATAATGTTCGCAGGTGATTCCAGGTTTCCTCTTGACAGCCATGATGGTCTTGCAATGGTCTTAAGGCGTCTAGGAGAACGTTTTAGCGACGCTTGTGTTACTCAATGTCGTCAGTTTGGGGGTGGAAATCTAATGGTATGGGTTGGCATTACACATCATGAGAGAATACAACTGAGTATCAATGGCAATCGGAATGGTGTACGCTGCCGGGAAGATATCGTTTGGAATCATGTACATTTGCAGCATCATAATGCCAGCCCGAATGTCTCGGGTGAGACTAAACGACGTCTATGATAGAACAAGCCGGGAACGCTAGCTCAGTAGGGTCAATATTTGGTTGACATTTGGAACAACATGCTCCAGGCTGTAATCGATCATCTGGTCTCTTCACTGCGCCACCGCTGCACCGCCTGTATCAACGCAAATGGTGATCATACTTGATACTGACATTGTTGATTGAGTTGTTACATATCTCTCCTTTAGGGAGTTTCGCTCCGTCTCCTTATACCTGGTATTGATTTTGTCAATGAATTTGTTATGATGACTTTTCAGACCACATATTATGGTTTATTTTTCAATAACATAACATATGGTTTTTGTCAATTAATTTGTTATGATGACTTTTTTCAGACCAAATATTATGTGTTTTTTTTCAATAACATAACATTTACCCTACTTTTTTTTCCGTTAGCATCGTTTGGCGAACTCTCGTCTTTTCAAGTTTCAGTGTCATTTATTTCATTCACCAATGGATAATCTGAATCAGGCGTAATTATCTCGCTTACTTCCTCTTGTTGCCTATTGCCGTGACATTCATTGTCGTTCTGTGAATGGATACTGAGAACGTTGCACCGTGTGATGTCTTCTACATCTGTTGGTTTCTAGGTTATTCATACAGCCTCTGTACTGTGGTCTTTTCCTGGAGCAGTCCCTAATCCTCAACAGGCGGAGAGATGACAAAGACCGAGAACAAAAGAATATAAAAAAAGAGGTAAGTTTAGAAGGGGTTTCAACGCATACTTCTTTGCATAAACATTACTTATTTACCTTTGTTACTTACTACTGGTGAGTTTAGTTAATGTTCTGTGTGTCCAACACAGGGCGGCCTTCACATCTTCCAGTCTGTAGATGGAGAAGAGACAGGAAATCCACTGCAGACACGCGGTTCTCTGCGTACTGATATCACGCCCATGATCTACTTATGCGCAACTATGTGGCACGAGACAGAACAGGAAATGGTGCAGATGTTAACATCCGTCTTTAGGTTTGTATAGTTGTTTTTCAGTCAGGAAAATTAAACCTCTGCGTTTGGAAACGCAGACTTCTGGATAAGGAGACACATTCAGCTGATCTTAACACAGCAATAGGTTCCTTCCTTCTTATGCACGGCTTGCCATGATATTACTTAACATCACACACTATTCATAATATAGACCAATCAGAGGTATGTTTCTTCAATATGTTAATGTTTTTTGTGTGCCATGTTTTCAGACTGGACCTAGACCAATGCACACGGAAACATGCTTATATATTTTTCGACGTCTATGATCCAGATTATTATGAGATTGAAGGTATGTAACATTGTGACAAATTGTGTAATGGGGGTAGTACCAGTATAACGTGTCGTTTATGTTTACTTCAATCATGTCGCCAAGGTTCGGCTCTGAAGTGTAGTGTAAAATCGCATTTACATATATCAATATCAAAGCAACATAGTTTTACTCTCGCTGAATAGTATTATATATAATAACCCATCGATATCAATGGTATGCTTAGCCGAATAGCAACTAAGTTATCTAAAAGTCTCAGGAAGATGTGAAAGTATGATGTGCATTGTATTTCACATATCAAATTCTGTTACAATAAGATGTAATACTTCAAACATTATTTTGTGATTTTGTGATCATTGGTTGATTTCAGCCCACATTTTCTTTGATGATGCGTTTGAAGCCCACGAAGATGATGAGAACGAATTTCACGTCAACAACTTCGTGAAGAATCTAGTGAACGTTATCAGTACTGCAGCAAGGTTAGTTTTTTCCTCACTGTTTATTTATTATATACCAACGGTAAAGAGTAACTGTGCTTCATATAGATTTGAATAAAATATATTTATTCTCAAATTATATACTGGATCTATCCATACATATTCATGAACACATCTCTCCGATTTTAAGATCGTGATTCACAATTTGCAGGTGCATCTTCATGCACGGTGCATAATTTGGACGTTTGCATGTTTGTTAGGATCTTGATACACACACGTTTGGTGTTGATGTGAAAAGCACACACTGATGCATCAGCTATCAGGTGCTCGTAAAACACCTGTGTTTTACCGTAAATGACGCTTATCCAATGCCATGGTGCGCTCGGTGAATATGATGCCAGAGTAAGTTGACAGACATATCTACAGCAGGGTAACACTCACGACGTGCCATGAGCCAGTCGTCCTAGTGTGACGTGGCTTCAACAAGACAACCGTATTCTATTGGTACATCCATCTGAAACGATACCAAACTGCCACTATGACAGCTCGAACAAATCTTGGGTTGAGACCAGTTTGTGGCAGAACCGCAGGTAGCGCAAATCCTGCCCCAACGTCCAGCGATACGCCTAATTTTGCTTCAACGTCACCGTTAGGCACGCCGAGATTGGTGTAAACAGCTTCTGACGTTCAGACGACAAGACTGGGACAGTGTACTGTTCATAGGCGAGTCCAGGTTTCCTTTGGACTGTGATAGACTTTCAAGGGTCTAAAGGCGCCCAGAAGAACGTTTTAGGGAAGCTTGTACTCAACGTCGTCAGTTAGGGGGTGGAAGTGTAATGGTATGGGATGGCATTACAACTCATGAGAGAACTCAACTCATATAATTATCAATGGCAATTGGAATGGCGTACGCTGCCGGGACGACATCGTTCGGAGTCATGTACTGTCCTTTGTGCATTTGCAGCATGATAAGGCCTGCCCGAATATTGCATGTGTTGTAACAGACCGCTCGCAAAATGTCTCGGGTGAGATTGAAAGACGTCTATGACAGGACCAGAACCAGCCGGTAATGCTAGCTCAGTTGGGTCACTATTTGGTTGACATTTGGAACAATATGCCCCAGGCTGTTATCAAACATATGGTGCGGCTGCCTCGCCTGTATCAACGCAATGGTGATCACATCCGATATTGACATCCGATATTAAGTTTTTGGACATTTCGCTCTGTTTCCTGTTACCAGGTATGGATTTTGTCAATGTATTTGTTATGATAAAATATTGATCAGACAAATGTCCAAATATCATATTGTTATTTTCAATCTAGTTCACCTAATATGAAGCACAGTTTCTTTTTCCAGTAGTACGAGGGGCGATTGATAAGTTCTAAGCCTAACAAAGAAAACAAAGTCAGTTTGATACCAAAGCTTTTTATTTTTCGACATAGTCCCCTTTAAGGTCAACACACTTCTGCCAGCGATGTTGCAATGCCATTATGCCACTTTTGTAGAAGTCAACTTCTTGGTCACTAAAAAAGTTGTTGACCGCTTTAATGACGTCATCATCTGACTGGAAATGAGTTCCAGCTAAATGCCTTTTCAACTGTGGGAACAGATGATAGTCCGACGGAGCTAAATCAGGTGAATAAGGTGGATGTTGGAGAAGTTCAAAGCCACACTCATGGATTTTGGCCATTGCTATCAGTGATGTGTGTGCTGGAGCATTGTCGTGATGATAAAGCACACCTTTCGTCAACTTTCCACATCGCGAAACTTTGATTTCCTCTCTTAACTGTCTCAGAAGTTCCACATAGTAAGCCCCTGTAACAGTACGGCCTTTAGGAAGCCAGTCCACCATAATCACACCTTCAGAATCCAAAAACACGGATGCCATGACTTTCCCAGCTGAAGGCACGGACTTTGGAGTAGGAGATGTGACATGTTTTCACTGTTTAGACTGTTGTTTTGATTCAGGTTCAAAGTGGTGGACCCATGTTTCGTCCATTGTAACAAATCGTTTGAGAAAGTTATCTGGATCACCTTCAAAAAGCTTGAGGTTCTCCCTTGAGAGATTCTCTCTTTGACGTTTCTGATCAGCTGTCAACAGTTTGGGGACCCATCGAGCAGAAACCTTGTGCATTCCTAGAATATCTGTCAAAATGAAATGCACTCGCTCCTGAGAGATGTCCACTAAGTTGGCTATCTGTCGCTGTGTCACTCGTCGGTCGTCCATGACTATGCCCAGACTTCGCTGTACCATTTCAGGTGTTGAAGACACAACAGGTGGACCAGGACGGGGTTCATCATCAGTGCTCGATCACCCACGTTTAAACTCTGCCACCCATCTTTTCACTGTTGCATATGGCGGGGCATCTTCCCCTAGTGTGGATAACATATCCTCACATATGGCATTGGGTGTTAAGCCTTTCTTGTAAAAGTATTTGATAACAGCTCGCTTGTCCTGTTTCCTCATTTTAAGTCATCTCATAACCCCCCTTGCAGTCAATTGCTTATACTAAACTAAATAATGTGTCCAATACAACAATCTTCCTGTGTATGTCACTGTACTTGATCAGTCTATCACCACCACAAAGGAATTCATCCGTACCACACTCCTTCAGAGGTAGGCTCACAACTTATCAATCGCCCCTCGTATGTATGTGTTTCACCGATGGGGGGCTGAAAAAAGATTTCGTGTGTGTTATAAATCATGCCGTGTCAGCTTAAAATCGGAGAAAAGGTAAGGTTAACACTTTTCCCTAGAATATGGAGTAAAACAGGTTGTATTTTGAATTGATTCACGTGTATGAACGTTTGCATATTCAAGTAACAAGCAGTGATATATTACTTCAGTAACGTTCATAAAGCACAAGTTAAAATGGACCCACCCACTAAATACCCAACACCATACGGAGGAAGGCTTGAGTGGACGCTACCGGGACAGAACAAGCTGGTCATTCACATGAAGGACAAAGCGAAAATACGCCACAAGAAGCGATGGAGTCAGGTAACAGTGTTACAAGCTTAAGGTATTATGAGTAATATGTATCTATAAAATAATTCAGTATTTTTTAGGATTTATTATCTCTTAGGATCATCATCATTTTTTCGTACATGATAAGACAAATCCACAAAGCTGTAATAGTGCACAGACATCTAGATGCCATGATGCGTTCAATCCATAAAAAAGTCGCTCTGTTCCAGGTTATGTACATGTACTACTTACTCGGCCATCGACTAGTAGGGCAACCACTTCCAGATGTTCGTAGGAAACAGACAATCGCAGACAACACGTTCATCTTAGCCCTTGATGGAGACGTTGACTTTAAGCCCTCTGCCGTGCAACTGTTGGTGGACCGCATGAAAAAGAACGATAAAGTGGGAGCAGCGTGTGGTCGCATCCATCCCATTGGAACAGGTCAGAACCATTCATCCTCTCATCGACTAGTATACAAGGAGTCACCTGTGGAAAGTTTGTTTTCCATCCAAGTCATTGACTTCGAAAAACAGATTGACTGAAATAAATAAGACTCTTTAGTTTAATCTCGTCATTTTACTTTACTTTATATTGGAATCAATCTGATGTTAAGAAATGTCAAAACAGTAACTGTGTTTTCTTAATAAATAGAAAGTAAAACAGATTAGAAGCCAAATAGTTAATTCATCATGTAATAGGTAGCAGAGTCCTGAAACAGTCTCCTCATCAAAGCAAAAATACCCGATAAGAAGCCAGTTAAGTATAATAGTTACATGACAAAACAAGAGGTGAAACTGAACTATAAAACAAAGTGGATAATACTTCTATACTATTGCCCTGTCAACCATTGCAATGGCTAATTCAATGGAAGCTTCGTTTCATGAACAGTTATTGAAAAAGAAAGAGAAAAGTTCAAGTCCTTATATTGACCAAGGACGAATATTCTGCCAACAGAGCTAGACATATAGTGTTATATTAAGCTAACCCATAGTCATACTCTCGGTATGTATACGCATATATGAATCAGTTGCCACTCTCTCGGTACATAGTGGTATATATGAGTGGCCACTCTCTCGGTATACATGGGTATGTATGAACCAGTGCCCACTCTCTCGGTATATATGGGTATGTATGAACCAGTGGCCGCCCTCTAGGTGTGTATTGGTATATATGAACCAGTGGCCGCCCTCTCGGTATACATGGGTATGTATGAACCAGTGGCCGCCCTCTCGGTGTGTATTGGTATATATGAACCAGTGGCCGCCCTCTCGGTGTGTATTGGTATATATGAACCAGTGGCCGCCCTCTCGGTGTGTATTGGTATATATAAACCAGTGGCCGCCCTCTCGGTATACATGGATGTGTATGAACCAGTGGCCACTCTCTCGGTATATATGGATATGTATGAGCCAGTGGCCACTCTCTCGGTGTACATGGGTGCGTATGAACCAGTGGCCACTCTTTCGGTATGTATTGGTATATATGAACCAGTGGCCCCTCTCTCGGTATATATGTGTATGTATGAACCAGTGGGCACTCTCTCGGTATATATGGGTATGTATGAACCAGTGGCCAGTCTCTCGGTATATGTGGATATGTATGAACCAGTGGGCACTGTCTCGGTATATATGTGTATGTATGAACCAGTGGCCACTCTCTCGGTATATATGTGTATGTATGAACCAGTGGGCCTTCGCTCAGTATATATGGGTATGTATGAACCAGTGGCCACTCTCTCGGTATATATTGGTGTGTATGAACCAGTGGCCACTCTCTCGGTATATAAGTGTATGTATAAACCAGCGGCCACGCGCTCAGTATATATGGGTATGTATGAACCAGTGGCCCCTCTCTCGGTATAAATGTGTATGTATGAACCAGTGGCCACTCGCTCAATATATATGGGTATGTATGAACCAGTGGCCACTCTCTCAATATAATCTGGTATAATCATTCAGTGGTCACACTCTTGACATTATCAGGTATAAATGATACAGTGATTTAGTCACGCCCTTATTTTCCTGAACATATTAAGCGGAATTGGTGTAGATATGTTTCGCATTGTTGGATGTATGGATGGGGGTATGAGGCTGCGATGTCATAAGTCACTATTGATTGATATATCAAACAAAATGTAGTATGATAGTTTGCTATTTCATATCACATGTGCACACGATGAGCGTATAATTTAGAAATAAGGATAGGCCTTACTCCTAGTTAAGGGCATATGGATATGTCACATTAACGACAGTAATGTCGTGACAGATTGTAAGTTTCAAGGACAATATTAGGTGATAAATATTGTCATTATGTTTACAAGGTAATACAAGATCAGCAGAACCTAATGGTTTCCCGACATATTTATCTTCCAGGTCCTATGGTGTGGTACCAGAAATTTGAGTATGCTGTAAGCCATTGGTTACAGAAGGCTACAGAGCATATGACAGGGTGTGTCCTCTGTAGCCCTGGCTGTTTCAGCTTGTTCCGAGCCTCAGCTTTGATGGATGACAACATGATGAGAAAGTACACTACCTTGGCGAGCGAAGCCAGACACTATGTACAGTATGATCAAGGCAAGTAGAATTTACTCCTGTCTAGAATTCTGTACATGTAGCAGGTAAATTCTATTTTGAGAACGATGTTTTTATCTACGATGAGTTACCATGCTTATGTGTTAATATACAATCGGAACATTGATGAATACAACAGGTAACATGCCATATCAAAGATTTTAAACCACCATGCATAAATAAGTTATATATTCTTTTATCCCAACGGTAGGCGAGGACCGATGGCTGTGCACACTGCTACTCCAACAAGGCTACCGAGTTGAGTATTGTGCAGCCGCAGATGCCTTGACCTATGTCCCAGAAGGTTTCGAGGAGTTTTATAATCAGAGAAGACGGTGGTCACCTTCAACCATGGCTAACATCATGGATTTACTGTATGAGTGGCGCAGTATCATCAAGCTCAATGAGAACGTATCCGCGCTGTACATGGCATACCAGCTGCTCTTGTTTGTATCGTCCCTCCTCACCCCCGGCACCATCTTCCTCCTGATAGTGGGCGCCATCAACACAGCCTTCCCTGAACTCGACCTGCTGGATTCTCTTATCTGCAATATGGTTCCAATAGGAATATTCCTGCTTGTCTGCTTCTGCTGCAAGTCAAACGTACAGGTAAAAAGCTAAAGCGTCACAATCATGAAAAACATTTTATTTTATTTTTTAAAAATCACGTACAAAAGTAAGGAATGTGTTAAAGAGTTTTGAAATGCACGGATCCCCAGGGCGCAATGATAACATATTGATGTTGTTGAATTTGGATGACATACTGCCATGACTAATGTCACTGTCTGTTTCAGCTGAAAGTTGCTGGGATTCTCTCGGGGTTGTACGCCCTGGTGATGATGCTGGTGACTGTAGGATTGGCACTGGAAATGAAGAGGGAGGGATACTGTGCCCCAACTACTATATTTATGATATTTGTAGTTGGTGTATTCATCATTTCAGCAATAATGCATCCCATGGAATTAACCTGCTTATTGCATGGTGCACTCTATTTCATGTCAATTCCAAGCATGTCGATGCTATTGATGATCTACTCCATCTGCAACCTGCATGTAGTCTCCTGGGGCACAAGAGAAGTGATGCAACCAACCCAGGCCGAGCAGGCTAAAAAGGAGCAGAAGAAGCTGAAATCTGGTCGTTTCCAGTCTATTATCAATCTCTTTAGTAATGATGATAAGGTACAAGTAGACGTTATTTGAACATTGAAATAATAAATAATATATAGATAATACATATGTTGTGTGAAACATTTGCTATACTAATCTTCGTTGCCTTAACCAATGTACATATACTGAACCGCAAAAGAAACGTCACCCCAAGTAACATTGCATGAAAAGTTGTCATTTAAATATCTCGGTAATATTTGTCAAAGTTTCTAAAATTTAACATTACCTTGTCCGGAAAAATGAAATAAAAAAAATAAAGCAGATGACAACAAGTATTTGTCACAATGTGACGAAATGTCCCCCGCCTGTATATACACCATAGTACCAAATATGAAGACAATCCAGCGATCAGTTCTTGAAATATCGCGGCAACACCGTTTTCCAACTCCAAAAGCAGATTTGCCTGCTGTGACATTGAAAATGGGGTCAAGGTCACTAAAAACGACTGGTGTCTGCGGTGTCTGTATATACACCATAGTTCCAAATATGAAAACAATCCAGCGATTAGTTCTTGAGATATCGCGGCAACACCGTTTTCCAACTCCAAAAGCAGATTTGCCTGTTGTGACCTTGAAAATGGGGTCAAGGTCACCAAAACCGACTGGTGTCTGCGGAGTCTGTATATACACTCACGATGCACGTGAGTTCCGTGCAAATTGAAATGCACATGCGTTACCCATTTCTTGCTCTATACAAATCCACCAAGATAGGATAACATTCATTCGTTATTGAAATGCTACCACATGCCAAGATTGACAAGAAATCACCGACATCAAGCCCTTGGACGATTGCAAGCTGGACAAACTGCCCGGTGGGAAGCCAATGCATTTCAAGTTCACGTAAGGACCATATGCTCAAGCAACGGTACCAGACCACCAACACTACAGATGACCGACTACGTAGTGGAAGACCAAGGGTCATCACCCGACGTCAGGATCGTCAGAAAGTGCGACAGCATCTTCAAGATCGCTTTGTTGCGGCTGTGGAAACTGCTCGACAGACCATGGGGACACACCAGCGACACACACAGCACCAGTATTGGCGCCATCAGCAGTGGAGAAGAGTCCTGGGAAAGCCGTTACTGTATCTCAACAGCAGATGGCAGAGAAAGAGTCTATCGACGCCGTGGGGAGAGTTATTCGAATGCTTGTGCTGTTGAGAGAGACTCGTGGGGTGATCCGAGCATCATGGTGTGGGGTGGAATTGGTCTTGCACAGAGGGTCGGCCCTGTGGTCTTCAGGGAGTCCAGGGAGACGCATTGTTGTCACATCAGCTCGATACATTGATCAAGTCTTTAGACCACACGCTCATTTGGCACGTCGCCGCAACCACGAGTTTCAGCATGATAACGCCCGTGCCCACACTGCGAGAGCAACAAGAGATTTCCTCCAGCAGAATGGCATAAGAACCATGCAGTGACCTGCCCTCAGTCCCGATTGAAATCCCATTGAGCACCTGTGGGACGAGATTCAAAGACGACTGAATGACCTCCGATCAAGGCCGACAACTGCAGCTGAACTGCGTCAGGCGTTCCTCAGAGTGGGGCTCAAGTGCCTATCGCCTTCATCAACCGCCTCATCCATTCCATGTTTCGACGTTGCACGGCAGTCATCAATGCACATGGCGGAAACACGAGATACTGACTTGTGATGGCATTTTCTCAGAGTTGTGTTTCACTTTAAGAACATACATTTGACACTTTAATTTCAATCTTGATGATCAGTTTTGCCAAGTTTCATCTTTTTAATATGTCTCAAAGTATGTTTGCAGAATTTGTACAAATAAGGTTTCTCATATATCTATCCATGGTGACGTTTCTTTTGCGGTTCAGTATACAATGCATAATAGTTCCAGTGTAGGCGGTGGGGTTTCTCAATGGAAAGAATTGGCATTCCTTACATATTAGTTTTTTGTGTGCATTGTCTGGCGTGTTGTTGGGTAGTCTAGTGGTGAAAAACTTGGCCCATCACACCAAAGATGTTGGTTCGATTCCTCATATAGGTACAATGTTTGAAACTCATTTTTGTGTCCCTCATTGTGATATGTATGGAATAATATTAATAATTATAAAATAAATAAACCCAACAACTCAACCTTATGTTTGATAAAATGATAATAAACCTCTAAATCTAATTGAACACAATAAGGTCGTCAGAATAGTAACTACAGATAAGCTACTTTATTTACAGGTGGATAGTGATTATGGCTTCTCCTTTGGAAACCTATTCAAGTGCATCTGCTGTCCTCGGCCTAAAGTTGACAACACAGCCAGTAAATTTGGGGCTGTCCTTGAGAAACTGGAACAGCTTGAAACGTCCATGAAGAACGGCTTGACCTCCAATCCATCATCGCCAACGATACAGGTCACGAATGAACAAGGCATTACCTACGACCTGGACACACCAGCGCCTTCCCTTCAGGAGCAGGCGTTGCAAAACAATCTCAATACAGAAGGCGTGATAAGACGTGAGTAATTACGGACACATTTATCTTTAAAAAATTGGGCTACTCATTCCAAAACAAAGGAAATAACATAGAAACGACATAAATGTTTCTCCGTATGATCTCATAAAACTAAAGGTTATTTTAGTCCATATCTGATCATTTGTGTTTCCACAGAAACAGTATTTGAATTGTTGCAGATAACCCCCTGTATGAGAAGGAGATGCACATCCATAATGATGAGTACTCACCATACTGGATTTCTGATCCGGAAGTTGGACATGGTCGGACACGATACCTTGGACAGGAAGAGATACGCTTCTGGAAAGATCTCATTGAAAGGTACCTTTACCCATTACAGAGCAGTGAGGAGCAGAAGCAGAAGATGCAAAAAGACCTTATCCATTTGAGGAACAAGATGAGTCTAATGTTCTTCATTCTGAATGCCTTATTTGTTGTTATCATCTTTGCTCTACAGTATACAAATGCCCAGAGTCAGGGCAAAGGACTGGCCATACAACTTCCATGCAAGTCTGAGAGTGGTACTGCACTAACAATCGAGCCGTTCTCCCTTATTTTCATGGCTATATTTGGTATCGGTTTGCTCATCCAGTTTATTGCCATGTTCTTCCATCGAATGGGCACATTCCTGCACATAATATCTTCCACAGAGGTTAACTGTATGAGGCTGAACCAAAAGGAAGTAGCTGCTATGGACATATCTGATAAGCTTGAATTAGTGAAAACAATGCAGAGTTATGGAGATGATGATGACACAAGATCAGTGACGTCAATAAGCTCAATGGATAGCTTAGATGATGATAGCAGCATGACAACCGATGACACTCCAAGACCCAGACGAAGGAAGACTGTGCTGAGAATAACGAAGAAAAGGCGGAAGCAACAGCATAACGCTGGAAACCTAGCACAAACATTTATGGATAGATATCTGAAGCTTGCCGATGATTTGAAAAATGAACGTGTTGAGAATACCTCGCACAGGCGAGGAAGTACCAAAAGGAGGAAGAAGTCTATCAGGAAGAGCCAAAGAGCTATTAAGAGTGTTGAGCAAAACAAAGGCATTGTATTAAAAAAGGCTCAAAAGTGGAAGCATATTGCTGGGATCGTTCGTGGATCTGGAATGCATACAACAATAAATGACCATCATCATAATGACCCTTGGTTAAGTGTCGTCAAAGGTGTCCTCACGCAGTCCAGGGCCACTTCTCATGCCAGTCTGCACAAGGTAGAAGAGGAACGTCGTGGTATCGAACTTGGGCACCGAGGGAGGCGCCCCAACACGGATGGCTCCAAGTGGAGCAAACTGAAGGACAGTCTTAGTGGACACCTTAGTGCTGTGACCGAAAGTGACACATCTGCTAAGCCAGAGAATCAGCATGGTACTCATGGGCTTGAAGACACATCAAATGGTAGCGTTGTTCGTGTGCAGATAGCGGTAGAAAACGATGGATCCAGGAAGGCAAGCAAATCCAGTCTGGAGGCTCCCTTCCAAGACCACCATGAGGCTTCACTACTGGACGAGGCAGTTGGAAATACTAGTTATTTTAACGAGGAGGACAGTGTGAAAAACTTGAGTGTGGACGCCCGAATGTGCAGCATCTCTGATAATACGGATTCGGACACCGGATCTGTTGAATTGGAGATTAAAGATAACAGTGAAAGTCCAACACATGCTACCACGTCAGTGTAAGGTAGTCACTGCGATACTGCTAGATGCTATTGCTGCCAACCTTTATATTGGTTCTAGTCAATTTTGCTTGCTTAGGTATGTATGTCTGTTTGTATAAAATAGCTCGTCGCTAAATAAACAGTAGTTCTCCACCATCGAAATAAAACTGCTGGTCAACAAACTTGAAAATAACTCCTATTTACTTCTTGGATCTATCGTATTGGTACATCCAAAAAATGTCTAATGGCCCCTCAAAACTATTTTTCTTTGTGTAGATGTTTTAACAGCACAATGTCAATGTAAATTATGCAAACGCCATGATATCCTCACGCAATCGGATAAAATTACACTATACGCGAGATCCTGGAGCGACTACGTTCAGCATGTATACCAGTAATAGAAATACAAGAAGTATGAATCACAGTTGTAACATGTGACCATACATTATTTCCATTCATTGGCACCATTGAATCCAATGAATAAACGCATATCAAATATCTTAACATATACATGTCACTCAAGTGTCACATATCCATTAGAATAGAAATGACGGGGAGCTAAAAATACTACATGGTTTCCTTACGTGTGAAAAGGTCTTTGAAGGAAAACATGATTTTGTCACATAATGTTACTGTTTCAAAGTGTTGTTATAATCTCTTGCTATAGTTCAAATTTACATTGATATTGAAATGATATGTGCCATTTCTGAATGTTATTTATAAAATGTATGTTCTTTATATGATTATTTTATTGTACTTAAAGTGTATTTATTAATAATACATTTTCTATATTGTTCATCAAACTTAATTGCCGTTGGTGCTGGATCGCCGCCCATACTCCCCAGCTACTGAAAATTGATTATTGTTACAGTGTTAAAACCTTTTACTGTAATTATTTACTGATACATATCATTTTATATCAAGATAAGACGCATTATTGTTGATTATGAGTCGTAAAATATATTACCATTGTGACTAGTTTTTACACTGCGTGATAAAGATATGGCGGACATGATTGGCTACAACTCTAAGCAAAAAATACTTGGGAAGGAATTATTTTGCATTTTCAACGTAATTGTTGTCATTTATCGGTACTCGATTATCAGATATCTATGATGATGTACCCTGAAAAACATATACATATAATAAATACTATCACGCAGAGTACTTTTGTTCTGTTTCTGAATTCAGCAAGCTTGAGTAGGAAATTATTTAAACGTGCTGACACGACGCAGCAGACACGTGTATGACATCCATGGTGAACACGAAAAGTATTATGTACCCAAGACACATAGTCCGGTGTATTTTTGGATGGGAGAAACGAGCAGAATACACTTTCAGGCACTGTCCGGTGTACACTTTCAAGCGAACACGAGTAGTATACACTTTCATGCACTGTCCGGGTGTACACTTCCACGGCGAACATGAGCAGTATACACGTTCAGGCATAGTCCGGTTGTACACTTTCATGGCGAACACCAGCAGTATACACGTTCAGACATTGTCCGGGTGTACACTTTTACGGCGAACACGAGCATTATACACGTTCAGACATAGTTCCATGGGGAACACCTGCAGTTTACATGTTATGGCATAGTCCGAGTGTCAAATTCCATGGTGAACACAAGCAGTATACACGTTCATGCACTGTCTGGGTGTACACTTCCGCGGCGAACACCAGCAGTATTCAAGTTCAGGCACTGTCCTGTTGTACGCATTCATGGCGAACACGAGCAGTATACACGTTCAGATATAGTCCAGGTGTACACTTCCATGGGGAACACCTGCAGTTTCAGGTTATGGCATAGTCCGAGTGTCAAATTCCATGACGAACACGAGCAGTATACACGTTCAGGCACTGTCCGGTATACACTTCCATGGCGAACACCAGCAGTATACACTATCAGGCACTGTCCGGTGTACACTTCCATGGCGAACACCAGCAGTATACACTATCAGGCACTGTCCGGGTGTACACTTCCATGGCAAACACCAGCAGTATACACTATCAGGCACTGTCCGGTGTACACTTCCATGACGAACATCATCATTATTTACGTTCAGACATAGTCCGGGTGTACACTTCCATGGCGAACACCAGCAGTATACACTATCAGGCACTGTCCGGTGTACACTTCCATGACGAACACCAGCATTATTCACGTTCAGACATAGTCCGGGTGTACACTTCCATGGCGAACACCAGCAGTATACACTATCAGGCACTGTCCGGTGTACACTTCCATGACGAACACCAGCATTATTTACGTTCAGACATAGTCCGGGTGTACACTTCCATGGCGAACACCAGCAACATACACGTTCAGGCACTGTCCGGTGTACACTTTCATGGCGAACACCAGCAGTATACACTATCAGGCACTGTCCGGTGTACACTTCCATGACGAACACCAGCATTATTTACGTTCAGACATAGTCCGGGTGTACACTTCCATGGCGAACACGAGCAGTATACACGTTAAGGCATTGTTCGGGTGTACACGTCCATGGCAAACACGAGCAGTATACATGTTCAGGCATAGTCCGAGTGTCAAATTCCATAGTGAACACGAGCAGTAAACACGTTCAGGCACTGTCCGGGTGTACACTTTTAAGGCGAACACGAGCATTAAACACGTTGAGGCATAGTCCGGGTGTACACTTCTATGGCGAACACCAGCAGTATACGCGTTCAGACATAGTCCGCGGGTGTACACTTTCACGAAGAACACTAGCAGCATAATCGTTCAGGCATAGTCCAAGTGTCAAATTCCATGGCGAACATCAGCAGTATACTGTTTCAGGCACTGTCCGGTGCACACTTCCAAGGCGAACACCAGCAGTATTCACGTTTAGGCACTGTCCGGGTGTACACTTTTATGGCAACACCAGCAGTATACACCTTCATGCACTGTCTGGATGTACACTTCCATGACGAACAACAACAGTCTACACCTTCAGGCACTGTCCAGGTGTACACTTTCATGGCAAGCACGAGCAGTCTACACCTTCATGCACTGTCCGGATGTACACTTCCATGACGAACACCAGCAGTCTACACTTTCATGCACTGTCCGGCCGGTGTACACTTTCATGACGAACACCAGCAGTCTACACGTTCAGGCACTGTCCAGGTGTACACTTACACGGTGAACATGATCAGTAAACACGTTCAGGCACTCCCCGGGTGTACACTTCCATGGCAAACATGAGCAGTATACATGTTTAGGCACTGTCCGGGTGTACACCTTTATGGCAACACCAGCAGTATACACCTTCATGCACTGTCCGGATGCACACTTCCATGACGAACACCAGCAGTCTACACGTTCAGTCACTGTCCGGATGTACACTTTCATGGCAAACACGAGCAGTATACACTTTCATGCACTGTCCGGGTGTACACTTCCATGACGAACACCAGCAGTCTACACGTTCAGGCACTGTCCAGGTGTACACTTTCATGGCAAGCACGAGCAGTCTACACGTTCAGGCACTGACGGCATGTACACTTTCATGGCAAATACGAGCAGCATACACGTTCATGCACTTTCCGGGTGTACACTTCCATGGCAAACATGAACAGTAAACACGTTCAGGCACTGTCCGGGTGTACACTTACACGGCGAACATGAGCAGTAAACACTTTCGGCCACTGTCCGGGTGTACACTTCCATGGCAAACATGAGCAGTATACACGTTTACACTTACACGGCGAACACCAGCAGTATACATGTTCAGGCATAGTCCGAGTGTCAAATTCCATGGTGAACACGAGCAGTCTACACCTTCATGCACTGTCCGGATGTACACTTCCATGACGAACACCAGCAGTCTACACGTTCAGGCACTGTCCGGATGTACACTTTCATGGCAAACACGAGCAGTATACACTTTCATGCACTGTCCGGCCGGTGTACACTTTCATGACGAACACCAGCAGTCTACACGTTCAGGCACTGTCCAGGTGTACACTTAAACGGTGAACATGATCAGTAAACACGTTCAGGCACTCCCCGGGTGTACACTTCCATGGCAAACATGAGCAGTATACATGTTTAGGCACTGTCCGGGTGTACACTTTTATGGCAACACCAGCAGTATACACCTTCATGCACTGTCCGGATGTACACTTCCATGACGAACAACAGCAGTCTACACCTTCAGGCACTGTCCAGGTGTACACTTTCATGGCAAGCACGAGCAGTCTACACCTTCATGCACTGTCCGGATGTACACTTCCATGACGAACACCAGCAGTCTACACGTTCAGGCACTGTCCGGATGTACACTTTCATGGCAAACACGAGCAGTATACACTTTCATGCACTGTCCGGCCGGTGTACACTTTCATGACGAACACCAGCAGTCTACACGTTCAGGCACTGTCCAGGTGTACACTTACACGGTGAACATGATCAGTAAACACGTTCAGGCACTCCCCGGGTGTACACTTCCATGGCAACATGAGCAGTATACATGTTTAGGCACTGTCCGGGTGTACACTTTTATGGCAACACCAGCAGTATACACCTTCATGCACTGTCCGGATGTACACTTCCATGACGAACACCAGCAGTCTACACGTTCAGTCACTGTCCGGATGTACACTTTCATGGCAAACACGAGCAGTATACACTTTCATGCACTGTCCGGGTGTACACTTCCATGACGAACACCAGCAGTCTACACGTTCAGGCACTGTCCAGGTGTACACTTTCATGGCAAGCACGAGCAGTCTACACGTTCAGGCACTGACGGCATGTACACTTTCATGGCAAATACGAGCAGCATACACGTTCATGCACTTTCCGGGTGTACACTTCCATGGCAAACATGAACAGTAAACACTTTCGGGCACTGTCCGGGTGTACACTTCCATGGCAAACATGAGCAGTATACACGTTTACACTTACACGGCGAACACCAGCAGTATACATGTTCAGGCATAGTCCGAGTGTCAAATTCCATGGTGAACACGAGCAGTATACACTTTCAGGTACTGTCCGCTGTACACATTCATTGCGAACACGAGCAGTAAACATTTTCATATGATCAATGATCCAACATCCCTGATTTTATCTCCTGGAATGCTTGTGTTCCATTTTCACCCTTGCTGCAGCGAAAACAGCAATGTTCCACATAAGTGAAAACCAGAACTATATTCAAAAAGCATATACTTATTGTCTATCCAAAAAACATAACATATATTGTATAATTGTCTAAAAAACTGTAAATTAAATATCCACATGTATAATGTCGGATCGGAAATATCTCAGGCAACAGATATAAGTAACAAAAGTAATCAGTGAGTACCATAATAAAAAAACCCAAAAAACCCACATAAAGTAATTTTGTTTCCATATCATACTCCGGTCTCCATAGCCAGACAAACCAGTGATTTGATATCACGTCCAATGTACAATGACACACAATCAACCTTCATTTTGTCGCCCCTTGGGTACCTATTCTACACCGGAATCAAAATGGGAATAGATATATCAAACATGCATTGTAACTAATTACGACTCGCATCTTCATCGCTGCGCTGTTTATAGCTATTTAGTAGGATTTCATAGAGAGCATTGTAACTAGACTCGTTCAATTTTCGATTAACATTTTGTTTCACTGGCTTTGTCAAAAAGTTTCAGAGAACCAAGTATCATATGAAATTTATTTGCTACTGCATTTATTGATCATAATATAGTTCAATATCGTTAAATATAATTCTGTAGTGTGGTAGCCCTACATGGCAACACATGGAGGTCGAAAACTGAACGAATATGGTTACTATCAATTTAATTGTATATTTCATTGGTGCACATTGGCTACACCTATCTCACCTTTATAATCAACACTCGATGGCCAACTCACTTACAATATACATGTATTGTAATATTTTAATTAACTTTTTACTATCGACTAGCTTATCACCACCACCGAGGACCATACAGCAAACACTCCGTTATAACGCGCGACGAGAGACTCGTTTCACTTTTGCTCGTTTTCAATAGAAGAGAGTCGGACATATTTATCGGAAAGTGGGGATTTGATTCTTTTGTGGAAATTATAAAAATACATATAGTAAGCGCCTGCTACAATATAACTTTAGGCAACACCAACAATCCGAACGTATAGTATGACTCGATATCATCGGAAGCT